AATGGGGGGGGGGGGGGGGGTCAGAACCATATTAATAATGGAAAGGTCAAAGGTCTCGACACTGTTGGACGAACAAGTGGTGAAATACGTACCAGTGAAGGACCTGATTGTATTACAGCACGTAGCCTGGTCCCTTGGATGATTTACAATGGAATCGGTTAGGCGTCTCGTCGTTGCTCTAGGAAATAATGAAAAATTCCTCTTACCAAGGCAAGTTTAAACCGCAAGAAGCAGGTACCGTCATTATTTGAAATAGTAGGTAAACGTATAACTCTCTCGAAGATACTTCATGAAGGTACTCGGAAGTGACCGTTAGGGTCGTAATCGAGTTCGCCAAAGTCCCTTATCAGGCCCAATACTTCGATACCATCTAAGCAGCAAGTCACATTGCTGCCCCCTATATGCGTTACCTTACGTAACCTGACTTCACTTTGGGTCCCATCGTTTTGCTTAGCCGCACGTGGGATAATGGCGATGGGCCAGAAGTGCCGTAAGGCCCCGACGTACGGGTTCCGATAAATCCTCACGAGGTCCTAACACGAACGTGCGAGCGTCTACCTGCGAGTAACGAAAGGTTCGCTGGTTGGACCGAGGGGCCCTATAAGGCCCCGTACCACTAATGCTTTTCCAGAAGAAATTTTTTTTCCCTCTATCAAGAGTAGACCCGAGGTTACTTGGCATCGGGAATTTTCTTAATAATTTCACATGCAAACTCGCCCAGAGTAACTGACGACACCCTCCTTCATTTCTCTTATCCTGCGACCCCTGTTACTATATTTTTCTTTTTTTTTTTTTTTTAATACTGTCCCTGGAAAAGTAGTTCGTCATCGTTTCTAGGGAGTGTAGTGAGTTACTGGGACTCACGTTCGATAAAGGGAATAGGGTATACCTGTTCGTTGAATGCCACCGTCCGCGTAGCTACATGGATATGTGGATATGGGGATAGGTGGGTACGAGGGTTCGTGCGTGTCTACCTGCGTACGCGCATGTGGTATATACTGGTTAGGTAGGTGTGCGTATGTGCGTGGACGCGCGGCGTGTAGGCCCCTGGTGGCCCCTAGTGGGCCCCAGTGTGCCTCAGGGTGAACAGGGCCGTGGAGGGCCGAGGAGGGATCGGCGCGCGCCACGGAGCAGGGAGGGGAGGACGGCTCGCGTCTCGCAGCCTCCCCTCGTGTTCTTCTCGCCCCCACCTATGGACCAGCTTTTTCCCTCCCGGTAACTGTTCAAATTTTGTTCTTCGAGAAGGCCGACTGGCGGGGATACAGACCCTCCATGGCAGTGATTCTCATTCAGGGCCAGACTGCTGGAACTGTAGGGACTGCCGTTGGGTCGTTGGATAAATCTTCTTTCTTCTCAATTAACAAGTTTTTCAAATTTACGGATTAAAGCGATGACGCCTGAACGATAGCTGTGGAAAATTTTCGAAAATCATAAAAATCGTAGAAATTGTCCGAGACAAAGGAAAATTGCAATTGCAATGCGGTAGAAGAAGAAATAAAAAAGTGACTCTTTAACAGTCACGTATACGTCAAAATACGATTGATTCGCGCATGACGTCTCATCGGGCTACGAGCAATCAGCAATACTGATCGAGTCAGCAACGAGGAACGGGCTGAATTTGCTTTTCTGAAGATGAGAATCTCGGATGCGGCGTAGGGCCTTTGGGCCTGAATGGTATGGAGGGGATCCGGGGTCGGGGGACCGGTGGGGTTTAGGGTCCGATCGAGTGTGGGGCCTGATGGTGGGGATAGGCGCGTGCCCGCCCGCCTATATAAGGCCCCGAACCCTCCTTGGCAAGGCATTTCGGGAGGTACGACCATACAGTACGCATTGAGGGTGCAATCCAGGCAAACAATAAGTTTTCTCAAAGTTTTACTCGAGGATTCTCTGCACGTATCTAAGCAACAAGGTTTTACCGTGTTTACTCGTACTGACTACGCGCTACACACGCGGCCTGACAAGGCTCGGGCTCTGTGGGAAGCTGAGCGAACAGGAGTAAGGAAATACGCATACAGAAGAGGGAGAGAGAGTGAGAGAGGGAGAGAGCAAGAGAGACAAAAGTTTACACCCAAGGTCTGAGCCTCATTGACACGCATAAAAGAGGGATCGGGCACGCGAACGCGACACGCCTCCAGTGGGGACTGATAACTGTGATATGACTTTAGTGGGACTTAAGGACGAAGATTTGAATCGACTACCCACAATGCTGAGCGTGCATCAGCAACAGCATCACGGATTACTGACTGGACCGGCAGGACCTCAATCTCATCGTGGCAACGTGATCGTCTCTACGAGTAGCGTTCCCGGATCAATCGGCGTTGGCGTTGGAGCCAGCAGCCACGAGATCAAGATGCACGGATGCAAGCGGTCCAAGATTTACGCGCAGTCCAGTCCGTACGGGACGCTTCCGCATCAGCCAGCCTCCGTTGCGCGACGCAACGCGCGCGAGAGGAATCGCGTGAAGCAGGTGAACAACGGGTTCGCGACGCTTCGGCAGCACATACCGCAGAGTGTTGCCCAGGCCCTGGGGGCCAGCGTCTCGACGAGCCCCACGCCGGCAGCCGCAGCCGCAGCCTCCAACACCGCCGCAGGACGTGCCGCCTCCAAGAAACTTTCAAAAGTCGAGACGCTCCGGATGGCCGTCGAGTACATCAGGAGTCTTCAGCGACTTCTCGACGAGCACGATGGCACATCTTCGGACACTGGCACGATGACCTCATCGTCCTCGGCCTCGTCGCCTTCGTCCTCCTGCTCCTCGTCGTCGTCATCCTCCTCCTCGTCGACCTCGACGTCCCCGGCATCCTCCAATGCCGACTCGCAATTGGATCTCATTACGGACGGTGGTAACCATCATCATCGTCATCACCTTCACCATCATCACCATCATCATCATCACAGCCATCACAACGACCATCAGCAGCAGCAACAGCAGCAGCAGCAGCAACAGATGAGATTGATCGGCAGCAGCAACGGTGATCTTCAGAGCCAGACCAACGAGCTCCACGTGCAGTTGCAACGTGCAGCCAATGTTGGCAGTCCGTCCTCGTTCGTCGCGGCGCCTTCTTCGGAAGCGTCGAGCTCACCCACGCCAAGCTTCGTCAGCGACGCCTCGTCCGCCGGTAGCCAAGGATACGGCGGCGGTAGTGGTCCCACTTCCGGTACCACCGCGTCCATCTACGCCTCGCACTCCGACAGTTACGACAACTACGAGCCCATGAGCCCCGAGGATGAGGAACTGCTGGACGTCATCTCCTGGTGGCAGCAGAGTCAATGAGGATGGACCACATCTCGAGGCTTCGGACCTTCGGCTCAAAATCGTCATTGTCACATCCAGCATCCGCATTCTCTTCTGTCATCTCCTCGTTCTTCTATCGATCAAGGTTTGTCCTCAGATTTATGAAAAAATTCATTTTTTTCATCCCTTCAACATCTAACCTAACTGCAGCATCCTGTACCAATGTTGCCTCTCTTTGCTCTTCCCAGCCCACCCCCTACCTCCTTTCCCTCTTTCTATCTCCCTCTCACTCATCACCATAGTCCTTCTTCCTCCTCCTCCTCCCCTTCTTCTCTGTCGAGGAAGCTCAAAGAAACTTCTGACTAGATTTGTGACCTTGCCCTCACAATGCCCTGCGACCCCTCGCTCAAACTCCCAGGCCATTCAAATCGCAGACTCCATTCAGCATCCTGCATACACCCGAGAAGCGAAGCTTTTGTGCGATATTTCTTTCACGCTTTTGCTCCTTCCTCCGTCTCCTTATTCGGCATCAACCTCTTACTTCGTTCCTTCTCTCCTCCCTTATCCTCCTTCGTATCCGGAGTTACGTTTCGCCGCGGTGCCAATGACGCTAGGTCCATCCGTTCCCGAAGTCTCATTGATTCCCGATATAAATACGAGCCGTCTTAACCCTGCGACTTCATCCAGGTCGGAACCGTTATTTTCACTAGTTCCAAATCTCACCGCATCGTTACGGACTGCGCAACTGGTCTCATGGTGACCTGGGATTTAGTGGGGTTTGTGTCATGGGGTGTCATGGGGTCCTCCGGGGCTTTCTCGGGAGTCGGGGGTCCTGATCTACTCCAGCTCAGCCAAGTCGCTCTTCTCTTTCCCGAACGATTTCGTCTCGCGCGCTGCATTTAACCTGAATGCATCGTTCAGGATATTCCAGTCCCCCCCTTTTGTCGGTTTTTCAACCGGTATGCTATTCTTTCTCTTTTCTTTCTTGTCTGGCCCCGAGAACCGTGTGGGGGACTCCCTTCATAAAACCGCCCTTACCTGAAATCATCTCCTGCTCCTTCTTTTTACTTCTACTCCCGTATACCTGGGCTCGATTCCGCTTCGAAAACCTGCGCACGCGTTAGCCGCTACTACCTACGTCTCTTTCCTCTCTCCGTTTATCAATCCCACTTTCTCCATACAAACCCACTACCGATACGATCAATAATTAGCGTGACCACACTTGCGACCAACGTCAATGTTAATTCTGAAAAAAGAGAAAAAAATCGACAAGGCGCACCACTGATTATTATTTTTTTTCTGCTTTCAGGAATCAGACAATTTATTAAAGAGAAAAAGAAAATTGAGATAACACCAAGGCACAAAGATAACGAAGAGTCGAAGCTACCGAAAAATCGAGGACAATCATAGAATCTCGGCTGTTCCACCTACTGTGATCTAGTCATACACGTTCTACGGAAGATGCTCACTCTTGAGATGGCCCAACGTTGCTTTCTGCTCCCATGAAGATAAAAAAGAAAAGACAACTTGTATTAGAATTAACTCCGCAGCCACTATAGCAAACACGCAACAGCCAGCGTAGATTTAGACGTTACTTTAATTTTAATTTAGGGAATATACGAGACCTGTTACTCATCGCGACTCCAGTGTACATATAGGATGTAAGTATCTAGGGAAGAGAGGATGAGCAAGCATAGGACGAGTAAGAGATAAGTGAGAAGATACGATTAGGATTAGAGGTCGACCTCATCCTTAGAGAGTATGAGGTTCTGTTCCCTTTTTTTTTTCACATTCAAAGTGCCTGCCTTAAAGTGCTATACATATTATTTATTGACTTGCTCGCGAACGAGCCTAACGATGGCGCGGATGCCATTTATTTAATTGTAAATGAGGATAGACCTTTTTTTTCATAGAGAAAAATACCAGCCGACTTGTCGCTAAGAAAAGTCTATAGGTTTTCATAGAAATTCCCATATGCCAGTGCCTTTTGAAAATAATTAATATTCGACATCGACTTACAATCTGTTAAATATATGAGAGAATGTTATGTATACATAATTAATATTTTTATTTTCAACCTGTCCCTATATTTATTCACTCACCTTCATCCTTGATAATTTATTCATTATATTTCCTATTATGGGATGTCGACTCTGGTCGAGTAACGCCTTGCCAGGTGATTGGTATCCTAGTCACCAGTAATTCACTTTAAATATGGCAAGTGAGTGTCATTAAAGTCATTATATAGTTAGTGTAACGGTACTGATAGAAATGCAACAGTGGATATTGACGTTGCTAATAAACCTGTAATAAATTAAGAAAATCCAATAGGCCCCAAAGCGTGTAAATGAACTATGACAAATTACAGTTGAATCTTATTATTAGCCCAGGCAGACCAAACTGGGTACTAATTCTAAGTACAGGTACTGACCTACCGTAACGGCCACTTTACACTTTGAGTTGCATTTTAACATTACTTAGGTATAGTTAGTGCATGCATTACCGCTAGACCTAACAGGATTGTCATTTGACTGTAGGTGAAAATATTACAGGTATTATTGTTGCAGCCAATTTTCAAATTTCTATGAAAATTTTAATCAGCTTATCGCACCGGATTCTCTCAAGCCCAATCACTGACCATGAAATTCATCTAAAAATATCTCTACCCCCTTAGTAATCGTTCAGTTTGTCGGCGCCTATGGAATTTTTTCTTACAGTCCAATGGCCGAACCCGCAACTCGAACGGGGGTCGTTGCCGGTCACGCGATTCCGTGCGCAAGAAACGAACCCAATCCACAAATAATCAAGCAAACCAGCCTTTATGAATGAGAGGTATAAGTTTGCGGATGGTATTGAATTCCGTGTACCCAAGCTAAGGTAAGAGTGATATAAGAATTTTTTTCTCTATTTGATTACTCGATCTGTCCCATCCTAAATCTACGTATGTTTAAATAGACCCGGAATCCTAGCTACTATAGAAACTCAACATGAAACCGTTTGGGTATTAACGTTTATTTCAATGAGGATCTGCCGAGGGTTAGTGGCCTTGGACTGCCACAATATCTACCTGAAATCACCCTCCTACGTTTCCTTCACGGGAGAGCAAGCTTCTTATGTTGTTAGTCTGAAACTCAACGGACTTAGTCTAGTTGTTATTTAAAGCTTTTTCTCAGCAGCAACCAGATTAAACTTAGAACAGACAAGGTGCCACTCTTATTAGGAATAATTCTCAAACAAGTGAAACACACTTGTGCTAAATAGCAATACTTACTGGAGAACTTGGTGAAAGTGAAAACAACATCAGACATCCTTATGTAAGCAGTTAATTGCTAGTTAATGAGTCTAATGAGCTAAGGATTGAAAAAAAAACAGTTTGTTATTTTGTTGAATGAAAATGTCAAAATTAATAAACAAAGGGGAAAAAGGGTGAATTCAAAAATGATTTGAGGAAACAGTGGAAGCAAAACCTGAAAACGCTGTGGTTCATCCTTTTCCAGATTGACAAAACAACTAGTAATAAAATGCACATAAACTTCTATCAAAACGCTCGCATACAATTCATGTTTAAAACGTTAGATAAAAAATCGAACGATGCGCGTTGAATATGAAATACTGGACACAGTGAAGACCGAGTCACGAATCACCACGTTCTTTGCAATATAACATACAACTGACTTCCGTGCCTGCTGGAACCTTTCGTCCTGCAATAGCATTGTAGGCCAGAGGAACATGAAGAGTTACTTACCTCTCGCGGATTCCTGACGATGGAACGCTAGCCGCTCACCTGCAACATCCTGGGCCGCCTGCATCACCTTCCGGAACCTCGTGCTTCTGTCCTCCGGTCGCACCCTTCATCCTCTTGCACTTGCACCTATTTCACTTCATTTCACACGATTGTCACACTGTTCACTATTGCACCACTTATCGTACCTGGTAAATGGAACAAAATATCTTTAAAATCATACGTTTGTAAAGCATCTGAGAAAGATTGAATTACTGTGAATCGTCATAAACTGTATATTTTTTTTCATTAAAAGCTGAGTCGAACTAATGAAAAAATAATGGCGGCCATAACACCATGCTAAATATTGCGTAACTTATTGTGAGAGATAAAAATGAAAACGATAGAATCAGTTATCGGACAACTAAACACCGGAAATCACTAGTCTCTGCAGCTGCATTTTAATAATAAAGTCAGAAGGCAGTCGGAAGTCAATAGTAAAGAAATGCGTTTTTGTGATATGACATGTACAAACGACCATTGGTAAATGCCTCATATAAATTTTCAAATATTTCGACTCACCGTTACTCCTTGTGTATCACAACAATTCCAGAGCTTGGGAACACTACACGGAACAATTAAAACATGAATTTACACAACTTTTCCAAAAATCAATAAGTTATTACAAAGATACTCGACGATGCTACGCACATCCAACTTGCCGTTACCCGCGCGGAGAGGCCAACGGTTCCCCACACCCATTCACCGACAATGCATTGCGGGAGGATTGAAATTGTATTACATTTTAAAAAATATAACTGTTTGCTATTAATACAAAGTTTCTGAATTTTCAATAATAGCAAGAAAATTATACGATTTATGTTAGAACAGCAAAGACTCCTTTTATTACTTGTTCATCTTTTCGGAATTTCTAATTTAAATTCGAGACCGTTAAGCGAAACCAGTGCCTTTCGGATCAGTTGTAATTTTTTAAACGCAACCTGCACAGTAGCGCCCACAACGACATTGTCTTTCCCGACACATCTCCCATACAAAGAAGCAGCCATAAAGGAAGGAAGGAAGAGTATTGTCTTTCATCATAAAGTCCGCGAATTTATAGAAGGTTGCATCACTTAGATTAACCGATGAAATTACAAAACGCGCAATGCCAGACATCGTGAACGTAGATCTATTTAGAGTGAGTGACATTGTTTCACCTACAAAGTGATATGTAGTGGTCAGCGAGTGGCACAAAGTTCTTGCAATTTTTGTAATACATTGTTGCTAAGTAAAGCCACAGAATGTACGGCGGGACTAATGGGTAAGCTGTGACGTCGCGCCGCGGGTCAACCATTTTTCCACCAAGAAGTCCAAGTTTTTTGCAAAAAATTTGCATTTGTGTTTCGTAAAGTAATAAAAAATAAAGTTAAAGTGCTTCAATCATTTCTACGGAAACTTCTAAGTGGTCATGGTATTCTCACGCAAGTGTACATTCAGGTGTGTTTGAATGTACATAGCCCTTATGTAGCCGTTGGCCACTTTAGTGGTAGATTGACAAAACATTCTACTATCAGGAATCGCAGCACTTATGCTGCTAACGAGATTAGACAACTAGAGTTTCGGTTGAAAATTGTGTTTATTTGCTGAATCTGGTAGCTGAACCGATTCTTGCATGAAGCTAGTAAGTTGAAATGGCTTTGTTCTTCTCTTATTGCAACAGGTAGAATGACACTGTCTTTGTCTATGTCTATGCTCTTTGTACTTTTCCATTGTTTCTTAAGAAAATTGTCTTGCATGCACTAAATATATTGCCAGATATATTAAGGAATTATACTACATCCCATGAGTTTTCTTTAAATGTTAAGTGTAATTCCTATAACCTTTACCATTGATTTTCAATATCTCTATCATTTTTTTATAGTGAAAAATAACTAAGCTTGCAACGTATCCATCCAACAAGTTAGAAGTTCATAACTTGGATGAAGATTAAAGCATTCGACTACAAAATAGGTGTGTACTCCCTTATGAATATTAATATGTGTATAGTAGCGTAGCAGCATGATAGAACAATGCATATTACTTAATAATTTCTTACATGAACCTGAATATTATATAATGTGGACACAGCAACATATGCTTGGATGCAGCATAAATGTTGATCTCTGGAGGAGCGGTAGGACCAGTCTAATAATTTTTGCCAGTACGCATATCATATAAGGTAACAATTTTTATTGAAGATATTATTTACAGCACTGAACCAGTAATGTATTTAGTATTGATCATATCATTCAATGTTAAGTATATTTATTAAAACATAAAATGCAATAATATAATTCATTCTATTAATTTAGGTGGTACAAGTGGTGCATCGTAGTGAACCCTGCGAAGTGAAATGAACAGCAACATACTGAATTGTGTGAAGTGAAGTGAGTGGCAGTATAGTGAAATGAGCAGATTTGCAGTGGAAAAGGATGAAATGTACGACAGGAGGACAAGAACAGGAGACAAGAATCCGGAAGACAGTGCAGGCGAGACAGGATGTTGCAGGTGAGCGACCAACGTTCCGTCAACGGGAATACTCGAGCGGTGAGTAGGTCTTCATATTCCTCTGGCCCACTATCGTGTCGCAGGACAAAAGGTTCGAATCCGCACGTAGGTCAGTTGTATTTTATATTGGAAATGGCGCATCCTTTAGCGCCCTAGTGTATTTACATACCTAACTACTTGAAATTTCTCTCTATCAACCCATCAGCACCATAAGCGTGTCGGAGAACGTATGGTTATGTTACACTGCTATTAGGGAGTTAGATGAGCACTTACTCTTATCTTAGAAACCAAAAGAAAAGTGTATACGTCGGCACTATAAACGTACCATCCTAATCAGACTGATGACTCTCTTGTCAGTCGACAAGGTGTGAGAATTCTTTAGACCCGTCCCATACGAGGTTACTTCTCTTACACTTGAGAAGCTGAAGCCCTTATTTGGTACATCTGTACTTGGAATTAATTTCAAGAAAAAATTTATTCTTCGCGACGAAAGGGATGAAGGGACAAATATAATGAAAATAAAATATTTTTTACAAACCACATTGGTCCACATCTCCCTTCAAAGTGGTGATCGCTCATCCTTTAGAATCTCATTAACTCATTACTCTCTTATTTTGAAATCTCTCTTGTACGCTACCACCATCTCTTTCTCAAAATCATTCTAGATTAGATCTGGTCCAGCGCACGATGCTCGAAGGGAGGTCTCAGTTTCTTTTTCCTCTAAAGATCGTACCGTCAGTTTCCCACGTTGGAAACTGGAGTATTAATCTCAGAATCTCGGGCACTGAAAGTGCTTAGATATTCTTGAAGATTGAGAATGGCAGCCCCCGTGTGGCCCTGCCCCTCACACGTTAATGAGATTCCGCAGCACAGGGTAGCGCAGCATCCGTAGCTCCCTCGATGATGGTCTACTGAGATGACTTTGCAGAAGATGCATCATCCTTGTTGCTCTTGCGTGTTTTCTCAGTGATTCTTCGTTTACGAACGTCTTTTGTCCAGATGTCACAGATGAGATGGAAATATGGATGCTGCAGTTTGGGAGCAACGACTAGGCGTGTGCTGTATCCGTAGAGAGATCTGTGATCGGATTCGGATACCAGTGAGTCAACGTGTCAATTACACGGAATGACTCCGTTTGTGTCATTGGCATTTCTATTGGGGTATTGATTATTATAATTTTTCGTATTATAAATTTTATTGAAAATTATTAGGTCGCCATACAACATTTTTCCGCGCTCCCGGTTCCTCTTCCCAGTTGGCTCTTAAATCATCGTATCATCATCTTGTGTTCTTATGATGATTAACGAGCTGTACGAATCCCGCGCTGTAACGTGATCACTAATTATAGATTCGAATCTATAGAATATAGTCGATCCGTATCTCAAACAGATGCTGCATTGGCCGAATCGATCCCCGCGTGCGTAGCTGCTGATTCTTTTAGCACAGAGAATTCAGCAGCATCCCTCGGATCTAAAATTTTTTTTCTATTGTCTTTTTTTATTTTCATCTTTCATAATATTTATCCCGTCTCCTAACTCACGTTGATTAGTATAATTAAATAAGAGGACGTGACTTTGCCAAAGGATGTGACTTGGCCGATCGCTCTTCCTAAGATTCATTAAATCATTAACTTAGCCAGCAGCGCCCGTATTAAATGGACCGATCGTCATGACGATTAAACACAACCAACCCTTCGACCACCTGGAGGAAGATCCTTAGTTGGAAACAAAAAAAAATGATAAATTAAGCCCAGCAGAAGTTGGCATTGCTGCTATTGAGACAGGGACCAAGCTGGAAAAAGTGGGTCAGTAAAACAAAGACTTTTTTCCCTGCTCCAGATCCAGTATTCCCAACGATCCTCACCATATACCCCACGATGATCAACAACCGATCTCTCGATCCCTCGATCATTAACAGGGCAAAAACTCCCAAGATCCACAGGCTCCGGCAGTCGGTCAGTAATTCGGCTCCCCACGGACTTTCAGCTCTGCGCTCATTTCATTCTCCTTTGCTCCTCTTTCACTTTTCATTGACACGAGGGGTCTTCTTTCTAGATTTCAAAAGAGCGACAAGGAGAACCAAGCAAGGAAAATGAACAACGGAATGGCAGGAGTACACTGGAAGTGGCAGAATGGTAGAAAGGGCATAATAATAGCGGTCAACGATGCTGGGGCGTGAGTACCCAGTAGGGGGAAAGAGGTCGGGTCCAGAGAATATCCTGAAAAACCAAAAGGAAAGGAAACGCGATCCGTCAATGGAAAAAGAATGAAGTCGAAAGTCTCCAAACGAAGGAACGTCCACGGAGAAAAATTCGAAATCAAAGAATCTTTACAAAGGACACAATCCCGAGAAGCGAACACAGCCACGAGGTAACTTGGTTCTCGCTGCGATAATATTTTTCTAGGACTCAAAGAAAAACTAGCAGCTCATCCCACTCCGAATCTCATCTCACTTCTCAAGTGCACCAGTACCGTATATCCATACACGCGTTCAAGGGCTGTTTCCTGCCAACGAGATTAGCCCACTCCTGTAACCCCCGTAGCTCCCTGCACTCAGGAAGCAACAGCTACACGAAGCAATGTAGCGTAAAGCGGGCACTTGTGATTTTCCAAACCGGTGCAAAACCCAAACCACGTGCACGTGCTGCGCTGTATGTATCAGCAGCATCCTGGTAGAGCCCTGGCACGCGAGAGCTGCCGGTCCAGCATCGATTACCAGCATCTCTCTCTCTCTCTCTCTCTCTCCTCTCCTTCCTCTTGACCGATAATTATGTACGGCGGAACCACACAATCTTCCAACGGTCTAGGGACTCAGTGCCGAGGTACAGTGCCTACAGGTACTGTATATTGGGGCATGCCAGGCATATGTGGATCCACGTACGTGTATCATTCACAAGCGCGAATACGCCCCGGACAGGTTTGGGCGATGCAATTATTAATATAAGAGAGATGCTCGCGTTGGTAAGGGAGCCAAGGAGCGAAAAGATGCAGCGTGGCAGCCTCTCAGCATCCACACTCTTCGGAGGGTGCTACGGAGCCGGGATCTGTTTTTTTTTTTATTTCACGGTGTGAGTGCGTGCGCGCGCGCACGAGTGCCTTGTGGGAGAGCTAATCAAGAAGAGTCCGTGGTGATGGTGGTCGTTCTCGCGTAGCCACGAGATTCCAAAGAGATTCCGATCGGGGTTGAGGGGAGGTAGTGGGCAAGAGAGAGAGAGAGAGAGAGAGAGAGAGAGAGAGAGAGAGAGAGGACCGGGAGAAGGCCAAAGAGTCGTTGCCGCTCGCAGCCGCCATCACGGCGGGAGCACCGATTCGTTATATCGAATTAGCTGACAATGGGATAAAAGCAGAAGATCGGACGTGCGCCTGTGGACCAGTATTATCGAATCTTCTTAGTCCAATAGAGCGCCTCGAAGGAATGTGGTAGTGGCCGGTACCCTGTTAATTGCAAGCCAACGGTTATAATGAGAGCAGATCTAGTCGGAGCTGATCTCTTATTGTTAGATGGAATTGGGATGATCGTGATGGGAGATTTTTTAAAAATGGTCCACCGGACGAGTCAAAGTCGCGATCGTACGGAAGAGCCAATTCGAGAAAGGGTATCGGCTAGGATTTCGATCGCGAGTACTTCTGTCCTTGTCTTACGCGGGTAAATGCCGATAGGGCTGTCTCTCTCGCACTCACAGGAGGTATAGCAAATCGCGAAATCTCATGAATTTATTTCGTCTCATTCTCATTCGTCCATTTAGATGCTGTTGCATGATTCGCCAATATACTTTTGGCAACTTTCCTCGCCCTTGGTGCGATGACAATGTCAATTGGCGTTAAGTCAAAATGGTGGTACGACAGTCGTAAAGCGCGACTGGTGCGTTTAGGCTGGATAGCTCTGTATACGCATTTTCGCGACATCAGTCGATTTTCTCTCTTTGTTGAGTTCGCTGAGTAAACAATGGAGTAGCTGGCTGGTAGCCGTGTAACGAGACTCCTGAACCCATTCAGGACCGTATGGGACACGTGCGCAGTGCTTATACCAAGGAGAACGCAGTAAAAGTCCAAATCGACGAAAGTGACGTGCGCACGAGTCCACAGCAGAGCAATTGGGTAATGCGAGTTTACATTACAAGTAAGGCAAGGTCCTGGGTGCCGCTGCGCTTACGAGACCAAAGCTAAAAGTGCCTCCGAATCGTAAGCGCTGTACGAGTCAAATCGGGCAATGATTTCGGCAAAATCGACAGCGAAATGCGGTTGAGATACTTTCTCCGTTGCACCTTTTCCTCGGGGCTTTCTTTCAGCTGCCACCTCCTACTATCGCGCCGAGGATCAGTTCGAACGATCCGATGATCCAGCGATCGAACGGTCAAGGGATCGATCAGGCCACGTTATGGAGTGGAGGTGGCGCATGCGCACGAGCGATCTGGCCACGCGACTGACGCGCGCTCCTACCTTCCTTCGCTCGCTCCAGCCCTTCACGAGCAGACGCTGCTTACTCGCTTGGCCGCCCTCCTGCCTACTCGACTGCCTCGTTCCTTCTTTATTTCTCTTTTATCATACTTCCCTCTAGTCCATTCCTAAGCTTGGCCCCTCTCACTCTCGCTCCTTGTCCCTCCTACGATAAGTGATCTCTCCCGGGCACCCTTCCTCTCTCTCTCTCGCTCGCCCTCTCTAGGTCGCTCTACTAGCCCTGGCAGCGTCAGCCTTCCTACGGGTTGAGATCTATCTCGAAAAAGTCCGAGGCCCGGCGTACAGCGATAGGCACGGGCGCACGCCGTCCTCCAATCCCGTCCTGGCTACTTCCGCCGCCACCTCCCCAGCTCACTCCCATCCTTTTCTCATGGTAGTTCTCTTGGTCTCTCAGCGGCAGCAACTTCTCAGGTTCCCACCGAACTCGGACTCTCCGTTTCACCTCCCTCCGTCCTCCTGCCTCCCGGCATCGCAGGAGGAACTCACACGAGTTCGTCTCGTCCTCGTTCAGCTGGTCCCAGTCGGGTGCGCTCGCTCTCTCTCTCTCTCTCTCTCTCTCTCTCTCTCTCTTTCTCCTTCGAA